CCAGACAACCAAACTCAAAATAGTAGGACTCATTAATACCTATAGCCAGTAGGCACCACCGCTCACTGAAGTGATCCTTCCACCAACCAGCCTACTGGTCTACACCCACCCTCTAACAAATAATCCGGACTGATAACAAAGCCAAGTACTGGAACCATCAAGCTTTCTCCACAAGATACTGAAAATAAAATAAGTAAAGACTTTTGCTACCTTTGTGATGAAAAATATGTTATAAATGTGAAAACAAAAATCAACTAATGGTAGCAGTACACAGAAAAGTAGAACAAGAAAAGGAAGAGGAGGCAAGGATTAAGCACAAAGATTTAGTTGAAGAGGAAGATTCTTGTATTTTCACATATTCTATGGAGTATGAAAAGCCACACAATATCACCAATTCAATGAGGGTAGTGGGAATGTATGGAAAAGGAGACTACATATACTTGTCAATTTAAGTGGTTGCCATAAATTTACAAATGCTCGAGTTACAAATGCAATTGGATGGTGACAAACTCCCAATTAAGCCAATAATAGTGGAAGTGGCAAGTTGAGAATCAGGCCTGTAACTTGGATGATGCAAGGACAACAGTACAGGCAGATTTCCTCACCTTACCACTGAGAAGCAAAAGTAGTCCTGGGAATCAAATGAATGTAGTGTGAATTTAAAAGGCTGTTACAAAGAGTAATAATGGGTGAGGCTATGTGGTGAATCTACCACCATAATCAAACAAATATCTGAAAATATGAAGCTGAAGTTACTGCAGAAAACCCCAACTGCATATATGTTTCTAGTGCAAGTGCAAGGAACAGAATCAGCAAAATCCACACAAGAACAGTACCTTGTGCAATAGAGCCACACTGGAATAATAGCAAGATATGTTTGAAAATCCCAAATTCCATGCCACCCAAATGCTCCAAGAATCATAGAATTCTTTTTGATAGATCCAAAGATGGTCAAAGAATTATTAGAAGCAGGAGCTATACAATCTAGCAATAATGATTCTTCATCTCTTACAGTCCTTGTAAAGAAAAGATGGCACGTGAAGAATGTGCAAAGATCACAAAGAGTTGAATAAGTGGAGAGTAAAGGATAAATTCCCAATACCAATCATCGAAGAACTGTTGGATGTGTTAGGGGGTCCACAATCTTTTATATGTTGGACCTGCAATCTTGTTATCACCAGATTCACTTAGCTGAACAGGATGTCCAGGAAAACTATATTCAAGGGCACTGAAGGGCATTACAAATTCTTGGTAATGCCTTGTGGCTTAACCAACCTATACTAGAATAGTTTTATCTTTGTTTCTTTCTCTTCTTTGAACCAAGTTATGAATGCAGATTTCATTGGCTCCCTAGCAACTACCACAGGTTAATAAAAAATTGTGCAGTGTTTCATTAACCACTCATAGACATGCTAAAAACAGATATGTCAGAGTGTTCAGAAATAGAAGTTCAAGCATTTGAGTTTTAAAAAGTTGCTGTAACACAAGCACCAGTCTTGGCCTTACCAAGTTTCCAATATACAGTCATAGTGGAAACTAATGCAAATCAAGGGGCATTGAACAGTGAGAGATGACATTCCATTGCCTTCATACGCAAAAACCTTTTTACCAGTTAATTGCAATTCTATTTGCAGTATCCAAATCGCAGCAGTACTTTGTGGTCAGAAAGTTTATCATAACACGAATCACCATAGTCCTAAATACTTGCTAGAACAAAGAATTGCTCCTCACAATCAGCTAAACTCGTTATCTAAATTTATGGGTTTAGATTATGAAATTAAGTACCCAAAAGAGGCAAGGAGAATAGGGCAACCAAAGCCTTCAATCCTATACTAGCAGGCCAAATTCTGGCCCTTAAAGTCTCTTCTGTCGTTACAACTACTAGAAGAGGTCAAGGATAATTGCCTAAAGAACCTGCCACATAAGACCTGATATACGATTGAAGGATGGGAAACTCACTAATTCCTATTCACATGGCAACAAAATATGTTGCAAAGGAAAGGCAGATTGGTATGTGGCTATAATCCTAAGTTGAGGTCTAAGGGCTAAAAGGATTTTATAAATCAGGTAGAGCAAGTAACTTGGGAATGCAAGCTACTTTTGAATAACATCTTTACACTTCTGTTGAGAAGGAGTGATGAAGGATATTCAGAAGCAAATCCAACAGCATGACGTCATTTTTCAAGAATATAACATTGAGTTAGTGGTTTATCCAAGACTTTCGCAGCCACTGCCAGTACTAGAGGTACTGCAGATGATACTTCAACGGACTTTATTGAGGGTTACCAAAGCCAACTGGCAGGAACATTACTTTTGTAGTTGTGGACCGCCACATAAAATATGCTCGCTTCATGCTGTTGGGACAGCCTTGACAACAATCAAGGCAAAGATATTTCCAGATGTTGTCTTTAAATTCCATTAGTTACCAGCTACAATTGTTAATGATATGGCATTTCTCTAAATACCTCTTGGCAGGAATTATTTCAACTCCAAGTGGTAAATCTTACATATCCCACAGCTTATCATCCTTAGACAAATTACCAGATTGAGGTGGTGAACTGGTGTCTCGAAACATATTTGAGATGCACGTGCCATGACAAAATCAAGAATGGGCAATGGAAAAGGTTATTGGATAGGATTAGAGGGTTGTGACGTGGGTATTGATGGGAAAAACTATATCTGTAACGGGTATGGGCAACTATGGAGAGGCAGATACAGGTAGGAAAAAGTCTTTACCTGTCCCATAACTGTCCTGCCCCTTTATGCTTTTTAAAATTATGTTATGTATATCTCTATACATATACATATGTTGGAGTTGTTTTGAGATTTTAATTTTGGATATTCTTATTAAGTTTGCGTTTGAATTTTGTGGGTTGTCTATGGATGGTGAACGACAGTGTTATTTCTAACAGTAACTTAGATTTTTTTTATTAGATTATAAATATTAAATGATTAGGGTTTTTAAGCAGGTAACTAGAAGGCTGAGGGGTGTAGGAAGCATGGGAGATTACCTTGGGGCAAATATGAGTAAATATGTACCTGCCTTGCATATAGGACTGATACAGTAAAGAATTTTCTTAAAGAGGGTGAGTTGGGGATCAGTGTACTTGCCCAATATATTTCAATTGGTCATTAGTAGATCAGATGAACTGGTTATCAGTTGCATAATTCTGGTATAATACCAGGAACAATACATACAACCACTTTTATAATTCCATTTGAGGCTTTATATGGATATCCTGCTCCATTCCAAATTTGATACTCTGCCAGTGACCCAAAGATAAACAGCACGCAAAGTTATATGGTGGACAGAGAATGGAAACACTTAAGGGCGCTAAAGTTCAAAGTGCCTAGGGCAGGGCATACAATGGAAGAGTTGTACAACACACATTGCATAGGGAGTGCTCAACATTAGAGACACTGTCCTCGTTTTCCTGCACCTATACTGTCAACAACCAGTAGTTCAGAGCAGCAATCAAAGACTAGACACCATTTACAAAGCGCCATTTAGAATACTGGATGCTCCAGAAAAAGGGCCATAAACATCCTTAATCCTCTTGAAAATTACAACGCTCAGACCTAAACTCAATCCAACAAACGTAAATTAAGCAAAACAATGATCAATCATGTAACAAATTCCAACCAAACTAAGGATTAACTACCATTTCAAGATAGAATTGAATCCAACCAAAAACAGATTCCATAAAGTCACAAGCAGAAAAAGCATTAGGCAAATATACATAACCGTAGAACTTCAGAAAATAATCATAATCCAGTCAAGTACAACACAGATACTAAAGACTTCGAAAATTGAACAGATAAAAAAAACCTGCAATCAAAACGACGCAGTCCGTAGTTAGAACTCAAAATCAAAAAAATTAATCACCCATTCACCAAAAACACTCGCATAAACTGCAAATACACCACACACAAAAAAAACACGTGAATAATCAACTGAAGAGTAAATTTGAAGAAAATAAACAAAACCTCGGTTTGAGTAAAGCGGAAGGCGGGGCCTCCATTACTCGGAGGACGACCCATGTTTTCTCCTCCTCCTTCTCTTCCTTCTCCTTAACCAACCTCAAAAAAACAGTTCGAGAGGAGGAGCCCAAAAGCATCCGTTAAAGAAGCAAGCAGTAATTCACAGAGACAACAAACTGACTCGATTGCAAGAAGGAAAAAAAAAATGTTGTTTAAGAGAGAGACAAATTTTTGTTTGAATATTTGAAGGCAGAACAAAAGGGAAGGGGGGAGCGAGAGAGAGAGCGAGAGAGAGAGGGAGATCCTCCGGGTCCGACCCGGACGGTTATTCGATCGGGTCGTGGCTGCAAAATTGAGGCAACGAGATTGAGTTAGGATTGGGTTTTGCAAAACCCAAAATAATTCTCGCCGATGACACACACACACACGTGTATATATATATATATACATATATATTAAATTAAATTAAAAAATATATGCCATAATTTTTTTAATTAAAATTAAAAGCATATATATATATATTAAAATATATTATATTTTTATAATGACATTTAAGTTGTGAATTTTTATTAAAAAAATATATATTATCATGCATGAAATACATAAAAATACTAAAGAACTATAAATAATATAATTAAAAAATGAATTTCTAACTAATAAAAATACGCTCAATTTTATATTTAAATATCAAATTCGACACCATTTACATTTACATATTTTCATCTTTTTTTTTACAGTAATTTTTGTATAAAAATATATTATATTTGGCTACAGTAATTTGTATAAAATAATTTTTATGAAGCAAATAATAACACAATTCGACATTACTCCGAACACAAATATTTATACACAAATAAATCACCATACTCAATTGCGCGATTATGCTTGTAATTGAACTTTTCCGAAAACGTTCGCGGTCCCGTCCGCAACTTAGTTACGGTGCAGTCTAAATTCTGTTGTAAGGTTTCGAAACTGGAGTAAAAAAGTCAAAGAAAATTCAGAGA